TCATTTCTTTGCTCCTATAGAGAGGATATTTGAAGGTGGTGTTGGAGACGTAACCTGAACTGTAATTTACTTTGTATTCATAAACGAGCTTTAGAAAATTTGAAATCTAAAAAGAATAAATATGATAAGCACAGAACAAAAAATGTGTCGATTTAAACGTGTGTCTATCTGAAGAGATTAAGCTGTAACTACGCACGCGCGTACTAGAATCGTCCTTCCAAAAAATTTTTTTTCAATGTACTCCCCTGAAAGTCACTGAGAGCAATCGTTTACAATAAGCAAGCGACTTTGACTACATATTAAACAATTCGAAATATTGTGATAGGTCAGTCTTCTTGAACCCCCCTCTCTCTCGCTTTCCCTATCACATTTCATACTGTTGACAAATAGTTTATTTATAGTAAAAACTTAAAATAGCTGAAATCAACAAGACTGAAAAGTATCAGGCAACTTAACATGAATTTGATGCATGATTTGTTCTCGCATTTCTTCGGTTAAAATAAAAAATGTATCTGAAATTCCTTAAATTCGAGGTTTTACTGTATAACTTTTCCAGCTATTTTTTTTTTTTTTTCAAATAATTATGTAAGTATGACGAGTGCCCTTGGCAGATTCATTTAGAATTTTGCGATATGAACCTATTTGAATTAAAGCTGAACAATTAGATTGTGTTTCTAATGGAACTAATTTATTTATAATTACTGATGAGTGCAAGAATAACCAACGATATGTGGCAAAAATGACAATTACTCGTGTAAAACCTGCACAAGAGGTCAAAGGTATATAAGAAAATAAGTCAGCCTTGAGTAATAATTTATTTTAAATCCAGGCGAAGGAAGGTATGCGTCACAATGCAGACTGTATTGATTCTTGTTTATTGTGTTAGAAAGAGAAAGAGAGAAAGAAAGAGAGATATGTGTAATGAGATAATACACAATGCATGCTGAACAAACATTTAACGTGTGTAAGGCAGACTCAGTTTCTCTAGGAATGCGAGAATCTCGCTAAAAACTTAGCGAACCTCACTAATATCTAATCTGAATAAAATTTGTTAGAAATGTCAGACAAACTACAACAGTTTTTTGCCTCCCAAGAATTTTTTTCTTTATTTTTGTGCGTGTGAAACCATCTCTCTCGCATTGAAGAACATTTTTAACTGGAACTGAGAGATTTTATCAGTTGATAATTCAGAACTTAACGAGCGACGATCCGTTTCGATCTTCAGTTTGAATCCACTATTAGTCACTCTCACAAGGACCAGTGACTAAGTGACCAGTGACTGATCTTCAATGAACCATAGCCAAATGTTCGGTAGCCACTCTGACAATTTTATAATTATTATTTAAAAAAAAAAAAAAAAAAAAGTAGACAGAATTTGAATAATCTAATAACACTAGTTGACAAAAAAAAATTAGTCAAGCATAAAAGTAGGTGTTCTAACATAATTTTGGGGTGCTGATTTCAGATATGAAATCCGTTTTCACGTTTCACTCATCACCTCTAGTTTTTGAAATATACATAAACGTAAAATATATACATGTTCTTACATTCAAGGCTGCCAGATATGTTCGATTTACGACATTGTGTTGTATTTTTTTTTTAATTTTAGGAATTATCTTAAAAAAAAACTGACATAATGGACGCCTTTGACGGCTTACGCTCGGCCCTGAAGTCTAACTTTAATTGCGGCGAAATGAAATCCACTTCAAATTCGAATACCCGGTACGCAGGGACCTAGCCATATATACGATCAATGTTTATGTTATTTTCTATATTTTTATGGGCTAATACATATCTCTACAATAGCTTTAGTCATTTAAAACCGCGAAGATGCATCAACAAGACAAACTCATTCTGTTACGTGTGTAGGGAATTCACAACGGTTGCACAGCATGGAACAATTACTCCTCTCCTGAGAACCAGTTACTTTCATTACTTTTGATTGTAACATTGGTGATCAAGACAAATCCTGGTCCCCACGCATCTGTTGTACATTGTTACAATGGACTAACTGCATTGATTTCATGGCAAGAAAGCATCCTTCAATTTTGCTCTCCTGATGATCTGGAGAGAGCAATGAAGCCAGGCAGATTATTGTTATTTTTGCCTAACACAAATACAACTGAATACAAGAATGCCTCTTCGTTCAGCTTTCAGACCTGCTTCTCGTTCATATGATCTCCTCGTTCCGACATTGTCAGAACATAAAGATTTTATTCCTTCATCAATGAAAAATCGTCTTCATAGGAAAATTCTGCCAAGCCGGTCTCTTCTGAAGACAATGTTCTTATTTATTCAGGGGCAAGTGGTAGTGAGCTTCACTGGATCACCCTAGAAGACCTGAATGACCTTGCCTGTGATTTTGTACCTAAGCAGCAGTCAATGTTCCTGGTATCCCGGCTGAAGCAGTGGAACCTGGTTACAGCAGATGTAAGAGTTACCAGTTTCAGAACACAAAACAAGGATTGCTGTTCTACTGCTGGTTGTGCTAGTACAGAGCTTCTTTTATTTTCTCATACTCTCTTTTATGTTTCTTATACTCTCACTTCATTTAAGTCATTTTGCCATGGCTACCTTGGTAATACACAGGCACCAGATTACGAAGAGTGTTTCGAGAAATTCTTACAGACTCATGAGGATATGGAATGACGACATTCAAAATTCACTTTCTCCACGCCCAGATTTAAGTTCTTCCCTCTGAACAGTGAGTGATGAGCATGAAGAAAAGATTCACCAAGATATTACTAAGATGGAAAGAAACTACCAAGGCAAGTCAACCACCGGCATTTGTACTTCTAATAGATGCAAAGTACACAAGATCGTTCAAAAGAAACTCACTTTTGTGCTGTATTATGAAAGAAAAAAACCAACAAACAAACAAAAAAAAACTAGAGGTGATAGAGCAAAAACTGTTCAGAAATTTGAATTCATCACATGAAAACCAGTAAAAAAAATACGCTTGGCTTGTGTTAGAGAAAAACATTTTTGTAAATTAATCGGTCATGAAAATTCGCGTTATTCGGTCAGATCAATGAGAGGGCATTTAAAGGGGAGGAATTATTAAAACCAGACTTTGAAATATCAAAGAAATTTATTCAATCCTTTGTTGGCATTTTCAATAAAAAGTAGAACGCCGTTCGAGACGGAAACCGCCTTTTTTACATGTCAAATTAGGTGCGTGTCATAGAGCCACCAGTTTTCGGCTCTTAGACCTTTTAGGCTTGAGATAGAAAAAAGAAAATGTAAAAATAGTGGAGCAGGAAAATGTAAATTTTGGGTAGAATCGTGCAAATTGTGAGATAAGCATGAAATTTGGCATGAGTATTCCTGATAGGTCACTTATGGCGGCCATTTTTCAAGTTGGCTGCTAAACGGGCCTATGTTTTATGGTTTTGCTCAAAAACTATAGTGCAAATTGTGATATAAACATGAAATTTGGCATGAGTGTTCCTTGTAGGTCACTCATTCAGGTGAAAGGGCTAGCCAAAAAAAAAAAACAATATAGTGGCCACATTTTTCAAGATGGCTGCCAAACGGGCCTCTGTTTTATGATTTTGATCTGAAATCATTAAATATTTTTATTTATTGCCGTATCAATTCTAAATCTGAGTGAGAGAACTCAATGATTGCAATTGATTTGGCATGATATAGCGGCCCATACCCTACGGTGGATAATTATATGAAATGATTTAAAGTTGACATTTACAATCCTGATGAAATGTGCAATTCAACGTCAAAATTACTTTCTGTGCTAATACCCAGCATGGAAATTGTCCATATCTGGGAAAATATCTACAGGTCATATATATCCTGACAACTCTCTGTATTTGAATTTCAATAGGCTAACCTTCCAAGAACCAACGACAAAAGTCCAGCCCGAAGTTCATTCGTTGTTGTTTACTAAATCTCACAAGGGCAACTGCAAAGCGGAATACAGCCTGTTCCAACCTTTGAGCACTTGCATCGTCCTCCACCACATTTTATCTTACATCCGCACTTTGTCAATTCACGACAGCTTTTAGAAATTGGTTCCAGGGAAGTCCAGGCAACTTTCCATTTGTTACCGTCTTTCAACTATCCCCACTTGGAAGGACACGGAAGCTCTGTATCACGAACGACGGACTGCCCCCAGATATGCCTGCTTGGAAGGCAGCGCGTTTGGCATGTTCCTTTAGCGCTCCTTGTGTTGGCGGGATTAATTCGTATGACTTCTGCTTCCTGGCAAAGAGATCTAACCTTGTTTCATCTACTGTAGTAGCAGCACAATCTCTCTAGAACTTGTAGATCAGACTCATTAATTTCAGGAGGACAGTGACTAAGTTTCGCAAATGTAGCCGAGGCATCGTTGCAAAGATTTCATGTCTGTCATGCTTTTTTTTCCCATTTGCCATTGAATCCAGATATCACATCACATCCGTAAAACGCATGGAAGAATAGTATCCCTTCGGTTTTTTCCGGTCCCAAAGAAGATGCAAGGCCGTGTATTGGGATCCATCGAGTGTGCTCCCCCTTGCCATAGGCGGTCCACATTTTCTCCATGCCCATTGCAGTGAAAGAAGACATCAGGCTTAAGCCTATGATTACAATGTCCGTGTCATTAGCTTCAATCATGAGAGACTTGTGTCCATCCTTAGCCGCATTCCAGACATGCAAAAATATCCGGGTATCTGCCTCTTCATGTGTGCAAGGAGCCAATTCGTATCAGGATTGCTGGAACTTGATAGAGCATTTTCCTTTCGTGTTACAATTACTTCATTCGTTGTGGTCATTTTACCCACTTCGTCAGCAAGGAAATTCAACAGCTCTGTTTTGTTGGCGCTGTCCCTTAGAAAGCTCTTCCAATTAGTCGGGGTTTTGCTCTTTGCCGTTACTCTCCTCCTGATAGCTTTCACGCGTTTTGATCGTGCTTCAGACTTCAGACTAGACTCGTGATAGACATAAAAAATGATATCTGTCCTCTTGTAATTGCTACTGTAGTATTGCACATTATGAAGAATATCCTATCTGGCACATTCTTCAAACGTCTTCGGTGTCCTACGCGTTACTGTATTGACTAGAAATGCACCATCTACTATGAGTACGTCAGTTTCTGGCTTCGTGTCTGGAAACTCCACCTTGGTTTGCAGGACGTCCACGAGATCAGTAGCGACATGTAGTTTGCCTCGCTTGCTGAGTGACGGAGGGAAAGATTGGTTCTCATGTTTGAAAAACTCTGGTAAATCACAACCTCTCCTTTGGCAGGAGATGAAAAGGCGGGAGAACAGTTGACAATCCTCCTTTAGTAGCTGTGTTTCTGATTTCTCTGTTGGATATGTGCTTGTTTTGAAGAAGTCTTTATTATTCCGTTGGCTGATAGAAATGCAGACTGTCGGTCTTGAGTTTATGAATATTTGGAATTGCTCTTTCCCTTTCTCCAGATGAGATGCAACTAGCGCTGCTGTAGGATCAGCAATGTCCTTAGTGTCAAGCGACAGTAGATCAGTGGACTCCTCCGAAAATGGATTGCCCATTTCTTCTATCACACTTGTAAGCCGCTGAACCTTTTCAAAGAATGCCTTCTGAGCAGTTGGCGACTGCTCGTGGTGATGACTTCCTTTCTTCGCCTCTTTGCTTCCTGATACGGCTTCATAGTCAGCAACGAATTTGCTAATTTCTGGACCAGCCACCATCCACCTCCGAAGAGCTGATGGATCCTCTATCAGACCAACAGCTCCCCCATCCCCCTTTGATGACAGCATTGTTTTGTTCATGGGCTTGGTCGATTGCCATTGCGGAGAACTTCCTGTCAGTTTTATGACCCACGAAATTCCCATTGTGGAATTCTCTGGCGACCCCGAGGTGCTGCTTCTCTAATGATATCATATCACGCAGATGAATAGGAAGCCATCTTGCATAGTTGACATTGTTGTTGGCAAAGGTTATCACTTCCGACAGTGATTCTCGATACAGATTGAAATTCCCTTCTCTAAATGCTCGCACCAGTGTTAATATTGTCAATTCCATGTTCAGGATAGAGAACCAAAATGCGAACTATCACACCATTCCACAAAGCTGGAAGCCTCCTCATCGCCATCAGAATGTTCGGCAAGGTACGAACTGTAGACTTTTTTCAGGAGCTGAAACAAACTGCATGCTGTGACCTGATGTGCTTGGCGTGTTTTAGTGACATTGGTTGCCGACAGGAATGAATCTGCAGTTCCGGAAGAGACTACATCAGCTTCAACAAGCGCACTTGTCCATCCACTGTCTGCTAGCATCGACCCAATAGACTTCAGTGCTGTCATCTCAATGTGCAGCCAACCAAACATGATCACATACTTGTCTTCCCCACATTTTTTCTGGCCCAGTACCACTGTATTTCTTTTGCCATGGCATAGTGTGGTTGACCAGCTGCCAGGACGGGAGTTTGCTACAGCTTCCCTTACTTTCTTCATGGCATGCTTTATTGTTGCAACGCTGTGAGCTTGATCTCGGAGAAGAGGTAGCAAGGAAGTGATGCTGGTTTCACATTCGCTAGTCCGTTTCTGGCTCGCATGATGAGCTGACCATGTTATATTGGAGTCATCATCTACATCGGTGGTACCTTGAACTTTTTGCAACCATTCGTATTCGACTCTTATGTTCCTTTGGAAGAGACTGGGGTCAGGCAGTGATACTTCATCTACTGAGGCTGGGGTTGGGTTCTTCTTGAAGTAGGCTAGCGCGATGTTTGTATAATACTCTGGAAGCTCAGGAACCTTTCTTGTTCTACTGTCTGTTATTTCCGGTGAAACCCGCTGTTCTCTGTTTTCCTTACTTGGGTGCTGGAACATGGAAATACTTGTACTATGGAATGACGTGCTAGCTGTGGTGGCCGTGGGATTGTGATCAGTGTTGTCGACAGCGGCCGTAGTGAACAGCCCTTTTTGCAGCACTGGTGAGCACGCAACATCTTCTTCGACATACTGTTTTATCACAGTTTCACCAAGCTTGCCGGATATCTCTAATAGCCTGTCATACGATATGCTTAGTCCATGCTCATGAAATTTGTCAATCAACTCTCTTTCTCGTGTCTTGGCGTACACCTTCAACCCAACATAGACAGCAAAAGGGGTCTCACGGTCTTTAGAGTGTATTTGGGTTGTCAATCCTTCTCTACGTTTTGAGTAGCAGTTGAACTGTAAAAAATGAGCAATAGCTAAGTCTGACTTCGCTATTCCGTGCGTCAGATGTGATTTTATAACGACACCATGTTCAATGCTGCACACGAACTGAAAAAGTGCAGGTGGGATAGCCTTCTCACCAAAGCCATCTTTGAGCTCGCTGCTGAATTTTGTCTTGTACTGGAGCATTTCTTTTCTCAGGATATCTGCTGCCTTAGATAGATGGAGAGCATTGCTATACTGGCTAGCTTCATGGAGCACTGGTCCTATGTCCGCTTTGAAGGCAAGGAGTACATCACGTCCCTTCTTATGGGTTTCAAGTTCTGGAATCCGAGCAAGTAGCTGTTCCTTCAACCTGGTAGAGTGGACATTCGGGGAATCAGCCTCAAGTTGTTCCAAGCGAAGCTTGTAGAGTGAGGCTAGGTCAGCAAGCCGAAATACAACCGGTGCTGCTTCCGTGTTGGTGACCTTGCTACCCTTGATGTAGACAACTAGTTCTGAAAAGGCCAGCGAGTATAAATCCTTCCCTGGATCACTACTCTCTGCTTTCTCTAGGGAATTGAGGTACGCTCTTTCAGCATTGTACAATTGCATCGAAGGTGGTACTCCAGGGAAACAACATCTCCGCTACTTAACTTTGCAAAGAGCTTTCCATTCTTCAGGGTTCTGGCACATTGATTGAGGTGTTCATTTAGTCTCTCTGTCATCCCCTCTTGCAGATTCGAAATAACATTTTCTTCTTCACAGAAGAAACATTCCACTTTTGGAATGTCTGTAGATTTTCGTCTCTTCCTTCGAGGTTCTTCTGTTGCTCCGGAGGGGCTCGGGGCCGCTCTTCTTTGCTGTGCTCTTTCTAACTTGGTGTTGTTGAACAGCAATCGGCAACTCGGATGATATTTAACTCCATTTCGAACCAGAGTGGTTTCTATACCTTCACCTTCATCAAGCCTTGAAGGGTCAAGTGCTATCGGCATATCATTGATGGCATAAAACAATGGTACATTTCTTGCAATATTACTGTATCCCGCATAATCTTGCTTCCTCTGGAATGAACTAAGAGGTGAAATGAGGGTTTCTTTGCTTTTTTTCTGCTGACAAAGGCAGCATTTGCTCTAATCAGTTTTCAATGTGGAATCTTTATCCATCATTTGACAGGAACGGCCGAGGGTTTATCCTTTTACCACCGTTCGCTCACTTTGATGTATGGGATACAACTAGGTTCACGCAACTGCCCTACACCTAGCCCGATCGTTCATCCAATGCCATTTGAATCCCGTGCGATCTGTACACCATCCAAATAACTTCAAAAGCCTCTGTTATCCTTGGCTCAGCTCTTCCGCGTTGGCACAACCTGTCCATTCAGGTACGTCTATCTAATATATTAGGGGCTTACTAGATAGAATTTGGGATACTGAACTCCATGTTTAGCTGACATTGAACCCCATGCTGAGTTCCACAGCAGTGTCTGTCACCAGTGTGCCCTGGTAGTGAGCGACATACTCTTCATATCTCCTCACATTTCAATTTGAATGTTGTCCCCTGGATGAACTGCCAGTACTCGACCTTATCAATTAACTGCCCTACTCTGCCTCCTCGATGAACTGCCACTATGAGGCACTGGCTGCCATCTTGAAAAAATGGCCGCCATGTTGAGTTTTCACAATGCCAGAACTTTTATCTGAAAACAGACCTGCAAGGGACACTCCTGCCAAATTTCAAGTTTATATCACAATTTTTAATATGGTTTTTGAGTAAAACCATGAAACAGAAGCCCATTTAGCGGCCATCTTGAAAAAAGGCTGCCATATTGAAATTTTTCCGTGGCTACCACTTTCACCTGAATAACCTACCTACAAGGAACACTCCTGCCAAATTTCATGTTTATATCACAATTTTCACTATGATTTTTTAGCAAAATGCATGAAACAGAGGCCCGGTTGGCAGCCATCTTGAAAAATGGCAGCCATATTGAATTTTTTCATGGCTAGCACTTTTTTCTGAAAAAGTGACCTATCAAGGACAATTATGCTAAATTTCTTGCTTATCTCACAATTTGCACGATGGTTTGCATAATCTGCTCCACTAAAACTTGGTTCGCATAAACTGCGAAAAAGAAAGACGCTTCTTTCTGATCACATAACGAATGAAAACGAAGACGAAGAAAATGATTCCTTCTTCCGTTGTTAGGCAGAAAGGAAAAAGCAGGAAGTAACTGTAAACAATCATCTTTATAAGCGCGACCCCCACCACACCCACACACGGATCAGAAAAGGAAGCTGGTGGAGAGGCTTGGAGAAAAGAAAATGAGAAAGAAAAGAAAAAAATTATTGACAAACATCTGTTGTAAAAGGGAAGTAGCAGTGATATTATTCCATGAAACGTTGTTTAGTGACTTAAAGTATTGAGTGACTTAGTAATCCTGAGCGAAGAAATAAAAATATTAAATGTAGAAAATATGGGAGAGTGGTTAATAAGGTTGGAACCTAATGAAGAAAAATGTTTGGTTTAAAAATATTAATTTGAACATAGAAAATATTTATGAGGAAGATTTGAACCTAAAATAACTCAAGTAGGTCCGGTATAACTGAAATTCCCTGCCTAGCCCCACAATCCCAAGGAAGTTGTGATGAAGTGTTTAATGGCGATTGCCAAAATTCTAAAAAACTGAGACAGAGGTTGGTTTGGTGACAGTGGTCGTGGTGGCTGGGCAAACATCAATTTTTGTCCTTGGCCCATAGACATAAGTATGCGTATGGTGCTCCTCACGTTAAAACAACCTTGTGTTACATTCAGCCTTGGTGGGGAGACCGAATAAATATACCTATACTTATGAGGAATGTATCCTAAAATAAACCCAGTAAAATCCAATATAACTGAAATTCCCTTCCTAGCTTCACAGCTCCGAGGAAGTCGTGATGACGTAATTAATGTGTGTTGCCAAAATTTTGCAAAATTTTCGTCAGTTTATGAATATTTCGTCAGTTTGTTTGGTGGCCTACTCAGTAAGAATTACGTTGTTTCTTATGAAAACAGTCTGACACTAGATTCTGGTTTATAAAGTACTGATGAATGGGCCATGTGAAATTTACCAGGGCATCTGATTTATTTAACAAGGAAAGTTTTTGTATAGATGCCTAATTAATTAAAGTGCCCGTCCGGACATTTGTCATTAAACATACACATGCGCCAGCCAGGTCGCGCGAGGCCGTTCCAGAGGTCTATTGTCATCCATTTTCGTCGAAATTCTAGCAGCTGAATTAGTAACATAGCCGCAATTTAACTACTAGAAATATCTCAATGCTTCAAGGAAAATTTTTTTTACTAAAGTCGAACCGCAGTCGAACATTGTTTATGGAGGAAAATCATCAGATATTTCCGTTTAAATTAGGTTATTTTCAATCTTGAACAAAATATACATTGCTATGATGAGACACGAAATATGCATTTATGATTTGGGAGGGAGTGAGGGAGGGAGTCTGATGCAATATTTTTCAAATTATTTGGAGCAAATTGCTTTTTTTCCGTTTCTTATTTTGATAATAATTATAGTTTTAAAATGAATACTTTGTATTTATTGCCCAATTTCTAAACTTGTTTCCGTTTTCAGAAAACCAAACACATTCTTTTTTAGTCAGAAATAAACCTCATAAATAACAGCATCAATAAATCGAAGACAAAGAAATCTTAAGTTTGGAGTTGAGGCCTCCAGTCAAGGAAACGATATATACAAAAGTATTCGACGGAAAAGAATGTTCAACTTTTGTTCTACAACAGAAATCCTTATTTTTGAAATTCATAATTTATTGTTCTTTGCAAATATCAAATAGCAAGATGGGTTGTCGAGAACCTCGAGATGAACAGCGGGGGCACCAGACCATATATGGCAACACTCTTCAGTGCGAGAACGAATTGTAGATTTGAAGGATGGACCTCAGACGCGAAAAAACTTCTGGTGCGATACAGAGAACCAAACTTTCCTTGCAGTAGATGTAGCTATTGATTTAATGCAGTTTTTCCACCTCAGGTCAGTGGAAAACCTGAGATCAACAAGGCGCAACGAGGCGCTCCCGATAAGATGAGCATCAGCCGTGCTGATAGGAGGCAGGGAGGTTTCTCTATGGTGAGTAAATGATAGCAGTTTCGTTTTGTAGGCATTAAAGTTTACAAGCCATTTCCTGCCTCAGTCAACCTGAGATTGAAGGTCCTTTACGAGACCAACGACCAAGTTAACTTTGTCAGACTGAGACAAGAATAAATGATAGTGTCGTCTGCGTAGATGTCTACTTGTGAAATGCTAGCATCAGGAAGATCGTTGATGAAAATCAAAAATAGTGTAGGACCGAGGAAAGGCCTTGGGGAATACCGGCATTTGTGAGAAAGGAACTGGAAAAGAACCCGTTTAGGACGACCTTCATTTCACGGTTTGACAGGAATGATTGGATTAAATCAAATAATCATCGTTCTGTAATACCGTATCCCTGAAGCTTACGTAGAAGGCCGGCATGCCACACCCTATCAAATGCCTTAGAGATATCTAGAGCCACAGGTTGAGCTTCGCCGTTATTATCAAAAGCTTGGTATAGAAATTCAGTTATGACTGTAAACACGTCAACGGTAGACTGGGCAATGCGGAAAACATATTGTTTGTCAGAGAATAGATCATGGGAGGTAAGGTGCTTAACCAATTCGGTATTGATTAAAGCCTCGGAGACTAATAGGATGGTAGTTATATGAGTCAGAAGGTTCTCCAGAGTTCTTAAAAACAAGAACAGTTGATAAAAACTTCCAACAGGCTTAAAAGCAAGAGTCAGCAAGGCAATAGTTATATAGTTTCGAGAGAACTAGAGCAAGATCAGAAGCACATTTCTTTAGGACTACAGCTGGTATCCCGTCACCACCAAATGCTTTATGATAGTGTAATTTAGAGATGACGTCTAATACCATCGAAAGGGTTATGCTCATCTCACTCAATAGAGCCTCCGTTCAGGTGTGGGTACTCCGGGTGAGTCGAGTGTTGAATTGGATGAGAATTTCCGAGCAAAGCATTCAAAGTTAGAACTTCGAATTGATTGAATAGAGGAGGGATTGTGGATTTTCTGTTATTTAACACACTCTTGCAGATCCGCCAATAATTTTTAGAACCAAACGTGAGATACAATACGTTGTTTCATTCTATCATCAAATAGTAACTTTGCTTCATTGAGAACACACTTGCACTCATTACGAGCAGAGACAAAAGAGACATCTGTTGTAATCAAATATGTCGCTCCAGTACAGATAGAAGAAGTGATTCCTATGGGCTATAACAGCCGAGAACCAAAGAGATGAGCGCGATTTAACTTTGTATTTTCTTGCTGGGATGAAAGTCTCGATAACAGCTTTTACCTAGGAGAGGAGGAGACCTCAGACGCACATTTTTGAACGGGATGATTAAAAACCACATTCCAAGGAACGTCGCGAAGGAAATCACGAAACAAATCCCAGTCTGCGCGTTGATAACAGAAAGATATTCTGTTAGTAGGAGGTTCTTGTCTGGAGTGGGAATGAAAGGAGATGTTAATAGACACTATGGCGTGATCAGAGTTGCTAAGAGG